TATGTACCAAGTACTTTTCTAGGCCCTGAATATATACGCATTTAAAAAAATTAAAAACAACTTCATGTCCTCATGGAGATTACATAACCTGTGGCTTCTTATGCAGAAATCCATGTTACATGAGTATTCTACTAAGAACACCCATAAGGTATACATTCTTGAAGTGAGGTGTGTTTCTGCTTTGTAAACTGTTCACTGCTTGATGTCTTTGAGCTGTTCAAGAATTTTTTTTTAATTAATTAAGAGAGCTTCTTCGCAAGTAAAAATGTTTACCTTTGTTTACGTTGATAAGGAGTTTAAGCTTCTAAACTGTACAGGGATATCATTGCTGATGTCAAATGGATTTGGGTTGAAAGCAGAAAAATACTAGAAAGATGTATACTTGTGTATTACTATTTATTATGAAAGGCATTTGACTGTGTGGACCATAACAAATGATGGGTAGCATTGAGAAGAATGGGAACTCCAGAAACGTCATTGTGCTTTTGAGGAATCTGCACATGAAATAAAGGAGCAGTCATGCAAAGGGAACAAGGGTTTAAAATCAGGCAGGGTATGCATCAGGGTCGTGCCTTTTTCCATACTTATTCAATGTGTATGCTGAGCAAATCTGAGATGGTGGACTACATGAAGAACGTGACACAGGATTGTATGGAGACTTCTTAAATAAGCTGCGATATGTAGATGATACAACCAAGGAAGACCCGAAGCACTTGCTGATGAAGATCAAAGATTGGAGCCTTCTGTATGGATTGCAACTCAATGTAAAGAAGACCAAAATCCGCACAACCAGCCAATAAACAACATCATGATAAATTGGAAAAAGATTGAGGATGTCGAGGATTTCATTTTGCTTGAATACACAATCAATTTGCCCATGGAAGCAGCAGTCAGGAAATCAACCAAACCTATTACATTAGGCAAATCTCTTGAAAGTGGGGATGAGAAACAGTGTTGAGGATGAAGGTATACATTTTAATTGTCTTATGTACATATGAAAGTTGGACACTGAATGAGGAAGGCTGCAAAAGAATTGATGCATTTCAAGTATAATGCTGGCAAAGAGTATTTGAAAGTAACATTGGCTACCACAAGAAGAATGCTCCTTAGAAATGAGGATGGCAAGACTTTGTCTTATGTATTTTGGACATGTTGTCAGGAGAGACCAGTCCCTGAAAAAGGATGTCATGCTTAGTAAACTAGAAGGTCAGCAAAAAGAAGAAAACCTTCAACTCAAATTGGCATAGTGGCTGCAACAATGGACTCGAACAACAGCAATTGTGAGGATGATGTAGGATTAAGGCTGTGGTTTGTGCTGGTGTACATGGAGTAGGATGATGTAGGACTAGGGCTGTGGTTTGTGCTGGTATATATACATGGAGTAGGATGATGTAGGAGTAAGGCTGTGGTTTATGCTGGTGTACATGGAGTAGGATGATGTAGGACTAGGGCTGTGGTTTGTGCTGGTGTACATGGAGTAGGATGATGTAGGACTAGGATTGGTTTGTGCTGGTGTACATGGAGGAGGAGGATGTAGGACTAGGATTGGTTTGTGCTGGTGTACATGGAGTAGGATGATGTAGGACTAAGGCTGTGGTTTGTACTGGTGTACATGGAGTAGGATAATGTAGGACTAAGGCTGTGGTTTGTGCTGGTGTACATGGAGTAGGATGATGAAGGAGTAGGGCTGTGGTTTGTGCTGGTGTACATGGAGTTGCTATGAGTTGGAACTGACATGACTGCATCTGATAACAACCCCAAAGAATCAGGTGCTCTTCAGTTTATACCATGTCAGAACAACAGCTTTGGCTGCCTCAAAGGACTTAAACTGGGTTCCTTTTCAATGTTTGAGTTTGAAGGGGAAAAAAGGGAGTCTGAAGGTATAAGACCAGGGCTGTAGGGGAACCTGGGGTCAGGTTGATTTTTTTTAGTCATTTTTATTAGGGGCACATACAACTCTTACCGCAATCCATACATACATCAGTTATGTAAAGCACATTTGTACATTCACTGCCCTTATCATTCTCAAAACATTTGTTCTCCACGTAAGCCTCTGGAATCAGCTCATCATTTTCCCCCTCCCTTCCCGCTCTCTCCTCCCTCATGGACCCTTGATAATTTATAAATTATTATTTTGTCATAGCTTACATTGTCCGACGTCTCCCTTCACCCACTTTTCTGTGTTTCATCCCCCAGGGAGGAGGTTATATGTAGATCCTTGTAATCAATTCCCCCTCTCGGCCCCACCCTCCCTCTACCCTCCCGGCATCGCCACCCTCACCACTGGTTCTGGAGGGATCATCTGCCCTGGATTCCCTGTTTCAAGTTCCTGTCTGTACCAGTGTACATCCCCTGGTCTAGCCAGATTTGTAAGGTAGAATTGGGATCATGATAGTGGAGGTGTGGGGGGCGGGGGGAGGAAGCATTCAAGAACTAGAGAAAAGTTGTGTTTCATCGTTACTACACTGCACCCTGACTGGCTCGTCTAATCACCGCGACCCTTCTGTAAGGGGATGTCCAGTTGCCTATAGATGGGCTTTGGTGCTCCACTCCGCACTCCCCCTCGTTCACAATGATATGTTTTTTTGTTCTGATGATGCCTGATACCTGATTCTGGGGTAAGGTGTCTAATGATAGTCTCATAGAACAGTCCTTCCTACCCACAAAGAGTGAGCAGGTGCATTATCATGATAGAGAACATGCTAATGTTTTCTTCTGCACAACTTTCCTAAACTTTTTCATCCCGTTGCATTTTTCAGTTTTCTTAAAATTTCTTCACAATAAGCCCATGTGATCATCTATGCCTTTCAAGAAAACCTATCAAGATTACTCCATTGGATTCCCCCAAACAGTCATTGTAACCTTTTGAGTTAACCTTTCCATGTAGAATTTGACTGGCCTAGCATTTCCTTTTGAAGCCACTCGTTTCAAGTAGACCTTGTTCTCTGGATTGTATTGGTCAACCCAAGACTGTCCACTTTATCATGCATCCCATAAAATTGCCTTCATTAGCTTAATTCATAGTTAAAAGATTGATGGAAAACGGCTCTTTGAGCTAGCAGATCTTTTTGCAACCCTTTTGGCATTCATTGAGCCAAAAGCTTGCTTAAAATGGGAATGCTGAACCATGTATGATCTCAACTTTAGTAGCTGCCACATCAGTGGTAAATCTAGGGTCTTCTTTGTCCATATTCTGGACATCCGCCAGTTTCTTCATTCATTGAAGTTGATAGTCTCCTCTCTTTACTCATCTTTGAGGTTTTCCTGGCCTCCCTTAAAACAAGTTATCCATCTAAAAACTGTTGTTTTATGTGGATCAACATTCTATAAACTTGTTGCCAAGCTTCACGGTGATTTGTGAAGATAACGATTTGAATTTTGTTAGATTTTGGTATTAGCCCCTGACCTAAAAATCTTCCCCCCCCCATAGTACAAGAAAATCCTCTTTATGTCTATTTCTAAATCTATATCTACATATAGTCTTTCTTTTTGAAAGCACCATAAGGGTACTAAGACAAGTGACTGACAGAGAACTTGACTGCACGCATCCACTGATCACAGACACATATTTTGTTTGGAATAAATCCGTGCATGTTATCAACTGGAACCCTGTTAGCAATGTTATCATATTGGATAGATTTGCTTTGTTGGGGAAGGTTCAAAAGACTTTCAAAGGAGGTGATACTTGAATAGGGTCTTCAAAGACTAAAGAGGCTAGGTTGTTCTAGCTATAAGGCAAAGCATGTGCAAAGGCATGACGTGTAGCCCATGTGGTCTGGCAACTATACGTAGTTTTCTATAGAACATCGGCTCCCGAACTTATGTGACCTACCATCTCCTTCCCAGAGGGGAAAGAAAAAGAAGAAACTACTCAGCGCCCCCTGACAATTAAACATTTCTGTACTATGAGCCTGTAATCCAGGATAAGGTGGAGGTATCTGTTTGGTAGTCCCCTTCGACTGGCCCAGTGCCTCCCAGGAGCGGTATTGCTCACTTTGAGAAGCACTGCTGTAAAACCTGTGAAACTTGAGCCATGACAGAGCATCCACATGATTCCCCGAGGCCTCGTCTTTCTCCCAGTGCCTCCCCAGTCTTCCTGTTTCACTCTGTTTCCACTCATTTAGCGCTTAGTCACTGTGTCTTGATGCCTAATTGTTTGTGTCCTCAACCTTTAACCTTCCAAAATAAGAATTGTTTGATAAGCGTCTCAGGGTTGTAGAAGGAAGCATGTATGCTTCATTATCAGATTGTGAATCTTCAGAGTAACCTTCCAGAGACTTTAAAATCAATTTAACAAATGGGTATTGAATACCTAGTTCATGCCTGGATAGATGCTAGGGATTTTGTCAAAGCTTAATTTAAAATCCATGCCCTTGAGGAAATCAGAACTTGATAGCTGCCCCAATTTGTACAGATAGGAACATTCTCTTTTTGATCTGAAGTTGTTTCCTGTAACAATATATTTCTTTGTGAAGTGACTTAGAATTTATCTGGGTCGAACTTTAGTCATTAAAATTTTAAAATATGATTTTGTGTTTTATGTTTTAGCATATATTTTACTGAAGGTGGTACTATTTACCTGTGATTTTGAGAATCTATTAGAGTATATGACTAATATGATGGTGGTATTAGTAGTTTGTTGGTCACAATAATTTAATTTACTATACTAAATAATTCAATTCAGCAACACATTTTTCTGTTTTATATCCCTGTAAGAGCACTTAAGATATTGAAAAAAATCATATAGAGGAAGAAAACAGGAAGAAATGCAAGAAAAGAGTTTAATTTTTACTCAACAAATTTGAGGCCTTAATCAGTTCCCTGATTGATTGAAAAATCATAAAAAGGTGTTTGAATTTATTCTGTTCATCAAAAATTAGAAAGTATAAATATAAAAAAATCACGATTTGTAAAATGAGCATGCTATTTTAAAGCAAATTATATGGAAAATACTGTCAAAGCAAACTACTGATTAATTTATTTGTAACTTCTTCTTTAAGGATGCTGGGCAGTTTTATGCTAAATACAAAGAAACAAAATTGAAGGAAAAAGAAGATGCATTGACAAGAGCTGAGCTTGAAACACTTCAGAGTGAGTTTTAGACTTTGTCTCACTGTGCTAACCCAACCACATAAAACTACTTGTTTAAATTTGGAGTTTCCCTTAAAGTTAGCAGTGATTAAAATTTCAATATCTTCTTTGCTACTCTTTGGACAGAGTCAGTTGTGCTCATTTTTTTGTATGTGAAAAACATCTTATTAATTACTGAATCTTCCATAGTGTGGTATCAGAAAGATGAATAAAATTAGCATGACTCATATAGCTCCTCAAGTCTAATGGGCCTCAAAAATCTACTTAAGTCCTAATCTGCTGCAGGCTTATAACTGTAACTGATAAGCCTAACCAATTGATTATCCAACTTCCTATATATTATAGTAGTAGTAAATGAAAACTCAAGGTATCCATGTTTATTTTTTCAAATGGCATTTTTCCTTTATAGTATTATATATACTATTAAAACAAATTATTACTGTGTTGCAATGGGGCTTTCATTGAATACTTAAGACACAAGTATATATATTGGCTAACTCAATGATACTATCAGTAGAACTACCTTATGGCTGATGGGCTGATTTATGAAGTTCTTGATCATAAAATGATAATGATGTCTCTGAAGTGAATCAGAGACATGTGTAAACCATAGATACATGAATGCATTTCGCGCTCACTCTTCATTGTAGCCATAGTCTAAGAACAGTTAGTTCTTATGATATGGTCCTACTTGATACTCGCCCTCCTGAAGAGATTGCTGAAGACAGGAGTGCTGTAACACAACATAGTGAAGAAACCAGATGGTGTCCGGCTATCAGAAAGAATAGCGTTTGGGGTCTTAGAGGATTGTCTTCAAATAAGCAGCCATCTAAGTAAGGTGCCAACTAAGTCCCCATGCAAGAAGCACACCAGCCTCTGTGCTCCAAAGATTGTAAATAATAAAATTCCAATACAAAGAAAGGAACATCTCATAGGTTAAATTGTGACCACCTGGCTTGCAGAAGGCTATAGATGACAGTGGAAGACCAAAATCCATTTGTAGGTTCTCCACATACATTAAGCCTTTTTAATAGAATTTGGATATTTGAATAACCTTGCTATCAAACAGAGAACATTGTGAAGTCAATTCTGGCGATATAGTTAGGTTAAAATGTAATACCTTATCTTGTGATCTCCATTGTGACGGATTTTAAAGTTGTTTCAGTTTTTTATATTTTCTTTTCGATGTTTTTCCGTTTTGTTCTGTGTTTCTTGTTGCTTTTGTTTGTTTTGTATGCTCTCTATACTTGATATCCAGGATAGGTATATCTATAGAGACAAACACTTAGATGAATAATTATCTCGAGGCATGGCAAAGGAGGGTGGGGGTGGGGTGAATGGGAAGCTAAAACAATGCGTAAGAGAAAGAAGACAATGTTCTGAAAGTGATTGCAGCGGTGATTGCACAACTTTTTTTTTTCTTTTTTAACATTTTATTAGGGGCTCATACAACTGTTATCCCAATCCATACACACATCAATTGTGTAAAGCGCATTTGTACATCGTTTCTCAAAACATTTTCTCTCCATTTAAACCCCCGACATTAGGTCCTCATTTTTCCCCTCCCTCCCCGCTCCCCCCTCCCGCATGTGCCCTTGATAGTTTATAAATGGGTATTTTGTCATATCTGATTGCACAACTTTTATTAAGAGGATTGAGCTATTAATCTGTGTGATATGTGAGTTATATACCAATAAAGCTAGTAGGGGGTAAAAAAGACAGTGTTGATTACTGAAAAAGTTGAACATCTTATGAAAGTAGACTTTCCCCCTGGTTTTGGTCCAGTGTCTAATTTTGCCATATCTACAGTTTCCCACCCATATACAGTTTTTCTTGTTAGCTTTTTATTCAAATTAAACATTTATTTGAAATTTATATTTTTATTACCATCGGATGCCCCAGATAGAATGTAAACTCCATGAAGGTAGAAACTTCCTGTTCTGTCCACTACTATGTCTATCCAAGTACTGTAAATAGCTTTTTACATATACCTAAAATCAAACCATACCCTCTTCCTTCAAGTCTATTTTGACTACCCTACATAGGGTTTCTGAAACCTTTACAGGAGCAAAGAGCCTCCTCGCCTTTCTCCCTTGGAAGTGAATTGTAGGTTTGAACTGCCCGCCTTGCGGTTAGCAGTCCAAAGCCTACCCACAGTGCGACCAGGGTTCTAAATAGGGTCTAGCATATAGGGGGTACACGATAACTAGTTATTGGCTGATTTAATGGAGATGAAATCTCTAGTCTTTAAAAGTTTCCAGTATGATTATTTCTGGTTTTGTGTTCATTCCTCTTCATGTACCTGGACTCAGAAAAGTATGCAATTTGCATGTCAGTCTGAGCACGAGCGACTGTACACAGACATAACGTAATTTCACATAGTAACTTGCATGCTTTTGAGGGTAAGCAGTAAAAACTATTCTGTAGCCCGTAGAAGTGGTTTAGCCAAATCAAATTGGAATGGAGCAAATTCATATTAATGTAATTATGATGCTTCACCCATTAACTATATGGGAAAAAATAGTTCTAGCTTATTTCCCTCAGATAATGAAAACCCCAGTTTTCTTTCTTTACCTTGACACACCAGGTTATGTTTCAGAAGGATAACTTATGTTCCTTCTAAACTCACAAAGAGTACATTGTCACTACCTAAATATGTGACTCTGAGAATTTTAGTTTCTTTATCTGTCAAAGGACTATGTTAACTAGTTGATACCCAGTATTTGTTTTCTTATGCTACTGTATTAAGTTGTCACAAATATAGTGGCTTTTTAAAAAATCATGTAAATATCTGATAGGCAGGATGTATTTTAATTGTGACAAATTGAACATAATTAAAGCATAGTGATTCATCACAAAAACAGTATGTCATTACATATTGTGAAATATTTATTTCTAATGACAAATAAATGAAATGTTGTCTTGAAGCATGGTGTAACATGGGTACCAGTCTTCACGCCGGGTACTCGTAGGTGGGCATAGCTGCATGTGGGTGGACCCGCCTGGATACAGATAGAGGAGCAGTGTCTCGGTTCCTAAGACCATCGAAAACATGTGACAGTATTCTATCACATTAAAGAAAAAAAGTGATCAATAGTAGATGAATGGATGGATACATGAATGAATATAATGCTATGAATATTAATTAATCAGTATTAATTGAACACCTATCCTGTATAAAATACTATTCTAAGGAACACATAAATTGATTCAAGAATATTAAATAATGACAAAAATAAAATGAAGTCCAACTTTTTAATTGTTTGAAACAGACTTGCTAAGAGGGAAAATTTTAGGATGATTAGACAGATATGGGTTAGAGAATTGTCAGTACTTTTATATTATACATAAGATTAAAAAGGAAACTGCTATGGCAATGTTTAAATGACTTTAATTATCTTAAATGAATTAATGACAGAATGAAACTCTAAAATATAATTTTTATTTTTAATTAACAATGTTATTACATAAAACTCTAAACATTTGAAAAATAACCAAAAGGAGAAAAAAAAAACATTTATAAGAGGGGGGAAATAAAATAATCCCAAATTTACATCTATAGCAGTGGTTCTCAACCTAACCTAATTCCACGACCCTTCAATACAGTTCCTCATGTTGTGGTGATCCCCCAACCATAAAATTATTTTCATTACTACTTCATAACTGTAATTTGGCTACTGTTATGAATCAGGCGACCCCTGTGAAAGGGTCGTTCGATCCCCAAAGGGCTCACAACCCACAAGTTGAGAACCTCTGATCTATAGGCAAAATTAACTATGCTATATTTAGTCACTTTTATAGCCAGAGCCTATCATTTTAATGCATTTTAAATAAACTACTTAATTGATATAATTGGGCATATGTATTAAAAGTTTCTAATAGTAATGGATTAAGTATGTGCCAGTTCCCTTTGAAAATAGGAGCTAAACATAAAGTATTTATCATAATACAAAAAATCCTTCTGATATTTGTGACCATTTTCCCAAAATTAGTAAAAGATTTTGTTCTGCCTAAGAATTTGACAGCAGTGCTCATACAGATTACATCATTCTTGCTGATTTCTCTAGGAAAATAGATTATGTAAAAAAATTTTTAAATTTTAAATCTGTATCTGAAAACTCTTCCTAAGTGTTAATAGTTTTTTTTAAAGTTTGAAAATCTAACACTAGCTTATGCGTTATTGAAATCCAGAACGGAATAGTAAGTACCAGAAAGCATTTAAAAAACAATACTCCTACCAGACTCTGAGTAATAAGACTTCTTTCACTTTTGTTTTTAAGATGGGTGGTATATTTAGAAAAGGTGTTGATATCAACATTAGAAGTGTTAAAGAACAGTCACATTCACTGTTAATATGTCAGAAACTGTCATGTATTTTAAAATGTAGTCTCTAATGATTACGTGCAAAGAATCTTTTAATTAATTTTGTTAACTTCATTACAATGTTCTGCATTGTATACTTTAGAATTGATATATAAAGGCCCAGAATCCCCCCCGTGTGCTTTTTATTTGTCCCTATCATTCTTAATTTTAAAGATCATCATTGGAATACTGAGTTCATAATAACATTTCCATCTACTTAATTGAGTAAATGCATATCATGCAGATTAACCGTAGCTATTTTATGCTGCCTGTTTTTCATGACCTAATTGCTAATGTGCTCTCATGTCTATCTGCTTCTCTACTGAGATTATGCAGCACCCTCTGAGGGCTGCCCTAGAACTATGTTGGGTAGGGCCTTGTGGTCTTGTTAGGTGTTTTTGAGGGGAAGAAACATTGTGAGAAAGGTAATTTCTTACAAATAAATATCCTCCTCGGAAGTCCTTGTAATAAACTTTGTGGATATCTACTTGGAAATTTTCTACCACTTGTTATTAACCTTTTAATAATTTTGTTATTTAGTTAAATAAGTTGGATAAAGATCTAAAACTGAGTGTTGTTCCCTTATCAAAAATGGAAGAAAATGAATTTGATTGTTAATTGAACGTAAAGGTCACAAC